ATCTATAGAACTTTTCAACTCACAACTGCAGAATAAACATTCTTTTATTCAGTACATAGAACTTTTTCTAGAATAAGCCATGTTAGGCCATAAATCAAGTCTCACCAAGTTAAAAAAAAAAATTGAAACCACACCATGCATCTTATCTGACCACAACAGAATAAACGGGAAATTAACAACTCAAGAATCTCAAAAATATAGGCAAACACAAGGAAATTGAAAGACGCACTACAGAATGAACATTGTGTCCTAGAAAAAATCAAAAGAGAAATCAAAAATTTATGGAAATGAATGAAGATGGCAATATAACATATCAAAACTCATGGGATACAGCAAAAACAGTGTTAAGAGGGAAGTTTATAATAATTGTTGCCTAAATTAAGAAATTAGAAAGGTATCAAATAAATGAGCTATCAATGCATATAAAAAATCTAGAAAAACAGAAAACTCAAAATTAGGAGGAAAGAACTAATTAAAATTAGAGAAAAATAAACAAAACAGACATCAAAGAAATAATACAAAAGATCACTGAAATGAAGAGCTACTTTTTTTGAAAAAATATACAAAGTTGAAACACCTTTGCCCCAATTAATCAGAGAGAGAGAGAGAGAATGCAAATCAATAGAATCAGAGATGAAAAAGGAAATGTAACAGAATTTATCATAGAAATGAAAAGAATCATCATGAATTACTACAAAGAGCTATATGCAAACAAATCAAAAAAAGTAGAAGAAATAGATTTCTGGACAGATACAATCTGATTAACGAAGACATAGAAAATCTAAACAGAACAATAACCATGATGGAGAATGAATTAGTAATAAAGACCCTCCCAACAAAGAAAAGCCCAGGACCAGATGGTGTCACTGCTGAATTCTACTAGACTTTTAAAGAACTAACTGCATTTCTTCTCCAGCTATTCAAAAAAATTGAAAGGGAGGGAATCCTACCAAACTCCTATGAAGAAAGCATCATTATAACCTCTAAACCATAAAAGGAAACAACAGAGAAAGATAACTATAAATCAGTATCTCAAGTGAGCATAAATGCAAAAACTCTCAACATAATACTAGGTAATCGAATCCAACAGTACATCAGAAAGAGCATTCACCCAGATCAAATGGGATTTGCCCCTATTATGCAAGGATAGTTCAACATTTGCAAATCAGTGTGATACATCACACTAACACACTAAAGAACAAAAACAGTATGATTCTTTCAATACATGCAGAGAAAGCATTTCATCCTTTCATTCCTATGAATGTTGCATATATATAGAACAATCCTCAACACATCCAGGCAATTTATGACAAACCCACAGCCAGCATCCTATTGAATGGGGAAAATCTGGAAGCATTCTCCTTGAGATCTGGAACCAGATAAGGATGTCCACTCTCATCCTTGCTAATCAATATAGTCCTTGAAATTTTAGCAAGCCATTAGGCAAGAAAAAGAAATCAATGGGATATAAATTGGCAAGGATGAAATCAAACTATCCTTATTTGCAAATGACATGATTCTATATATAGGAGAACCTACAACTGGAACTCTTAAGTGAGTTTGGTAAAGTGGCAGGATATAAATGAACACACAAAAAATATATCGCCTTTATACACACAGACAATGCAATGGCTGAGAAAGACCTTCTAAGATCAATTCCTTTCAAAATAGCTCCAAAATGAATTAAATATCTTGGAATAAATTTAACTAAGGATGTCAAAGATCTCTACAATAAACATTACAAAACATTAAAAAAGAAATAGAAGACAATAAATTGAAAAATATTCCATGTTTGTGAATTGGAAGTGTTAATATTAGCAAAATGTTCATATTTCCAAATGCAATTTACAGATTCAGTGTGATCCTAATCAAAATACCAGTGAAATCCTTCTCTGATCTAGAAAAAATGATGTTATATTCATATGGAAACACAAGAGACCCCGAATAGCTAAAGCAATCCTATACAGCAAATACAAAGCTGTTGGAATCACATTATCAGATTTCAAGGCACAGTACAGGGCAGTTATAATCAAAACAGCCTGGTACTGGCACAAAAACAGATGTATAGACCAATGGAGCCAAATAGAAACTCCAGAAATCAATCTACACATCTACAACCAACATATCTTTGACAAAGGAGCTAAATTCAATCCCTAGAGCAAGGAAAATACCTTCAACACATGGTGCTAGGAAAACTGGATATCCAAGTGCAGAAGTATGAAACAAGACCCATACCTTATACCTTACAGAAATATCCACTCAAAATCTATCAAAGACCTAAACCTATGACTTGATAGCATCAGATCAGTAGAAAACATTGGTGAAACTCTGCAAGACATTGACTTAGTCAGAGACTTCTTGGAAAAGACCCCAGAAGTACAGACAATAAAAGCATAAATTGACAAGTAGGATTGCATATAGTTGAGAAGCTTCTGCACTGCGAAAGAAAAACTCAGCAAAATGAAAAGGCAAACAGCATCATAGGAGTAGGTTATGCAAACTATAAAACTGATAAAGGATTAGTATCCAGAATATATAAAGACCTCAAGAAACTTAACAACAACAAAACACACAATCCATTTAAGAAATGGGCAAAGGAATTGAACAGTCATTTTCTTTTTTTTCAGCTTTTATTTAATAAATATAAATTTCCAAAGTACAACTTTTGGATTATAGCAGCTTTTCCCCCCATAACCTCCCTCCCACCCGCAACCATCCCATCTCCCACTCTCTCTCCCATCCCATTCTTCATCAAGATTCATTTTCAATTATATTTATATACAGACGATCAACTTAGTATACACTGAGATTTCAATAGACTGCACCCACACAGACACACAAAGTATAGAGTACTCTTTGAGTAGTAGTTTCACCGTTAATTCACATAGTACAACACATTGTGAACAGTCATTTTTCAAAAGAGGAAATTCAAGTGGCCAACAGACGCAAAAAACATGCTCAGGATCACTAGCCATCAGGGAAATACAGATGAAAACTACAATGAGGTTTCTCACCACAGTTAGAATGGCTCTCATACAGAAATCAATAAATAATAAATTCTGGTGAGGATGTGGAGGGAAAGATACCCTAATCCACTGTTTGTGGGAATGTAAACTTGTGCAGCCATTGTGGAAGACAACATGAAGATACCTCAGAAAGCTGCAAATAGATCTACTATATGACCTAACAATCCCACTCCTGGAAATTTACGTAAAGAAGGTGAACTCATCAGATGGAAGAGTCATCTCTACCCTCATGCTCATTGCTGCTCAATTACAATGGATAAGATAATGAACCAACCCAGATGTCCATTCACTGATGACTGGATAAATAAATTATGTTATATATACACTACGAAATACTATTCAGTGGTTAAAAGTGAAATCTTGTCATTTGCAACAAAATGGATGCAACTGAAAAGCATTATACTCAGTGAAATAAGCCATTCCCACAAAATAGGTACCATATGTTTTTCTAACCTGTGGTAACTTATAGAACGTCTAGAATGTAATGTATTAGAGTGAAATTTACATTTTGAAATTCTATGATCATTTATTGTCTCAACTGTTGAGAAATAGTATTTTTTTCATTATATATGCTGAACTCAGTGTATGGTTAATTTTATGAGGATAAAATAAACTGAAAATAAATCTTTGTAAAGACTAAGAGTGGGAGTAGGAGAGGGAGGCAGAAGAAGGGTGTGTGAGTAGGAGAAAGAGTCAGGGGGGAAGTACCACTATTTTCCTAAATCTCTCTCTTTATATACATATATATTATAATATATATAATATATAACATATAATTATATAATAATATAATATATAAAATAATATGCAGTGCATATTTTATGTATAAAATACATGAATTTTATATAATAAAATTTTTAAAAAAGCAAAAAATGTATCCCACATTCTAGACTGAGGGCTATCTATCACTGATGCTATGAGTCTAACCAATTAAGTAAATAATCTATTAAGACGATAAAAATTTAAATAAAATGTTACTGGAGAGGCTGCTGCTGTATCCCAGTGGGTTAAGCTGCAACCTGCAAGCTGGAATCACATATGAGTTCCAGTTTGAGTCCCAGCTGTTCCACTTCCAGTTCAGCTCCCTGCTAATGGCCTGGGAAAGCACTGGAAGATGGCTCAAGTGCTTGGACCCCTGCACCCACGTGGGAGACCTGGAAGAACACCCTGGCTCCTGGCTTCAGTCTAGTCCATCTCCAGCCATTGTGGCTATTTGGGGAGTGAAGATCTTTCTCTTTGGCTCTCCTTCACTCTTTCTGCAAGTTTTCAAATAAATAAATCTTTTTAAAAATGGCCCCCGGAGGGCCAGCATCATGGCATATTCATTTAACCTGCTGTGTGCAACACCAGTGTCCCTTCCAGAGTGGGTGCTTGTGTCCCAACTATTCTACTTTCAATTCAGCTGCTTACTAATTTACTTGGGCCCCTCCAACCCACACGGGACACCTTGATGGAGTTCCAGGTTCCTGGCTTCTATAACTGACTACAGTGGTCATTTGGGCAGTGAACCAGTGGATAAAAGATCTCTGTCTCAAGGCTGGCATTATGGCCAGCATCTCAAATGGGGCCCTGTTCGCATCCTGGCTGCTCCAGATCCAATCCAGCACCTTGCTAACACGCCTGGAAAAGAAGCGGAAGGTGCTCCAAGTCCAATGTTTACAACAATATGCAACCAAGGATGAATTGAAACCCTCTCCCAGGCAGTGTTCTATCAAAACCACTGACACAAATTAAAAAAAAAATGTATGGACAATGCTGAATCCTGTTTTTGGCGATGAGGCTCAAGCTCATTTTACTATAAACCTTGAAAATAGACACATCTTAATACATAACCCAAGGTTTTCTCAGAGAGGAAAACCAACTAAGAGGACCCCAGGACAAGAAGAGCTGCCTTAGACAATTAAAAGATGCATGACATGAATCAGAAATTATCCTAGTACTACAAAGAATAAACAGAAATCTGAAATTGCAGAACACTTTTTTATTGAGCATTCTGCTGTATGCTGAGACATCATGTCACTTCTTGCAAGTGCTCTGGTAATCTGGCACTTCAAGATGTCTCATGTGTTCAGTCCATGTTCTCTAAAAGCATTTCCTCTGAACCACAGAGGCCCCAAACTCCTCGAATTCTGCAGAGGAGACCCACATCTGCTTGAAAGTGCTCAGAGATGTCATAATGGATGAGCCAATCCACGAAGAGAAACATCTATCAGGAGAAGCAGTGATCTTGATGGGAGTCCCTTTGGAAGCCAGCAGTTCCAGTTCATTCATGAGTCTTTCCTCCAGTCCAGGGAAGAGAGTGGTACCACCACACAGCACAATCTCTGCAAACAGGTTCTTCTGGATGTCAACGTCACACTTCAAGATGCTGCTGGAAACCATTTTTGAGAGCCCGGGGTTGTGTATGCCCAGTTGATCAGGTGTAAAAAGAACCTCAGGCACTTGGGACAGCTGGTCTCCAATGGGAATGACATTCCCATCTGGCAGCTTGTATTTTCTCAGGACCACATCACCTCTCTTGTTCTCTGGCTCTACAGCGACATAACATAGCTTCTCCTTGATGTCATCCACCACGGCTTTGTTCAGGATACAAGGGAAGTTGCACCCATTAGCAAGGAGGAGTCGGGTGAGGTGCTCTGTGATGTCTCTTCCTGCCACGCAGAGCTTGGTGACTGCATGGGGCAGGGTGTAACCCTCAAAGATGGGAACAGTGCAGGTAAGTCCTTCTCCACTGTCGACCACAAGGCCGGTGACACAGGCAGAGGCATAGAGAGCTACCACAGCATGGTTGGCCAGATAGAAACCTGGAACGTTGAACTTCTCAAACATGGTTTCTGCAGTTCTTTCTCGAGTCTCTTTTGGGTTCAAGGAGGGCTCAGTCAGGAGTACAGGCTGTTCACTGGGTTTCACTCCCAGCTCTACTTCAAAAAGATGGTTCCAGAGTTTTTCCATGTCATCCCACCCTGTTACCAGTCCACGCTCAATGGGGTAGTGCAAATATAAAGAATCATTCTTGTCCAGGGCTTCAACTCCAACAAAGTATTTCTTTGGATTGGCTCTTGCAGAAGATATGTTAAATTTAGGATGCCCCACGACTGAGCTGACAATATGACGGGGTCCAATATCTCCAGACAGTCCCACTTTACAGAGGCCTGAACCATTGTCAAAAATCACAGCAGGAATGTCTAACACACGTGAATCAGACATGTCTTTACCTGGTCTTCGAGACTTCACCAAAATGAAGAAAGATCAGTTGGGCCTCTTTAAGAGACAGCAGTTCCCTCTGGTGGTTTGATAATCACAGGATTCTCAAGTTCTCTGGTTGTCACCCAGATGGAGCTGGCAGGCTGTCCCGAAATCCACCAGAACACCCCGTCCTTAACCCATGAATCTTGTCTCCTTTCTGGTGGCTCAATGCCTGCCACAGGCAATTTCAAGGCTGCCTGCCCTGCATGTAACAATCTCACCATAGCAACAGTTGTCCTAGGTAAGCATCAGCGGGGGAGGGGCTGGGTCTCTGCCAACAGAGATCCCTAATTAGTTAGACTTGAGGCAGGGGAAGGCACACCATACATACAGATAGCTTTCATAAACCCATGAATCCCCTGCAGATTCTTAGTTTTAAACAGAATGAAGCTGCCCAGCTATGGGCTTGACCCAGAGAATTGCCTTCTGTTTTTGAGCTGAGCTCCTGTGCATGTAATATCAAAAGTACTCTTTCCTTTGCTAAGTGAAGGAACTAATAAGCCCGAGACACAGATGGAGATGCCCATAATCCTCTCTAAACTGCTTTTGTATTTTCATTCCCTACCCCCCAAGTCTCTTTGCCTTTCAAATAAATACAAATGGAAAAATAAACAAAAAATTCAAAATTGCAAGAAGTGGTTCTGGCTGTTGTAAAGAAATACAATCATCTTTTAGTATATTGATTTTGCATGCAAAATTTTGCTAAACTCTCATAATTACAATCAATTTTATTTTAAAGTATGTCATAATTATCTATGAAAAATTAAAATTGTTTCTTACACCTTTCTTTTGCTTAACCTACAGCAGGAATCATGATAGGAGACATTTTCCTCTGTTTCCTGAAATTAACAAATGCATACATTGGCTTTCTTTTTAAGTGCTAGGGTAGCTGTAGAGAACTTTTTAGAGCTATACATTATCAAGATAAAGAAGTTCTCAAAAAAAGTTATCTGAGTTATCTGCCATTTGTCTGTTGTCAAAAGTTTTGATGGATTAACATTGAATTTTATCAAATAGTATTTGGCAGATTTCATATCAAATTTAACATGTTTCCTTTGTTAATTTACCACAACATATTAATTGAAGTTTTAACTTTAAAATAACCTACCCTTCTGTGATAATCAGTGTAGACACATTGTGCTATGTGTTTCCAATAAATGTATTTGTGGTTTTAAAATATTATAACTAGTATTTCTGCACTCACGTTCATAAAAGAGATACATACTTTTTTCTGTAACTACAGTTGTCAGGATTTGATATCAATTTTACTTATGCAGATTTTAAAAAATAAGTTGTGCAATGTATTTGTTTTCTTTATATTCTAGAATTGATTTATACAATTGGAAGCAATTATTTATGTTTTTAAGAATGAGTGGAAAATTGCCTAGGCCTAGGGATTTTTGGAGAAATGAAAAATCATTTTACTTATTTAATAGATACATTTAAGTACAGTTGTTGCACAAGAAATGAGCATACTTAAATGCTCAATATGAAAAGTTTGACATGTGGAATTACCTACAAATCATTAAACAATGTAAATACATTTCTCAACATCAAGAGTTAGCTCATGCATCATAATCTTTTCTGTCTGCCTCTCCCCTCTTTGCTCAGGCCATCATTAATATGCTTCTGTCACTACAAGTTAATAAGCATGTTTCTGGAATTATACATATGAATATAATTATACAGGATGTGTTCATTTTTATGATGCTTTCACTAAGCCACATTATTTGAGACTTATTCATGTTGTTGCATAATCAATAGTTTTTTTTTTTTAAAGAAAGACAGAGACAGAGAATCTATCTGTTGATTCACTCCCCAAATGCCCACAAAAACCAGGACTTAGCCAGACTGAATCCAGTAGTTGGGAGCTGATCTGAGGTCTACCACATGCGTGGCAGGGATCCAAGCACCTGAACCATTACTACGTCTTCCCACTGTGCTCATTAGCAGGAAGCTAGAATCAGAAGTGCATCTGGGGGAAAAAAAGAGGATCTGGGAGTTGAATACTGGCACTTTTATGGGAGATGCACTTGTATTAAATAGTATCATAACTACTATGCCAAACATCTGTCCCTCAAATAGTTACTTTTCATTACTGAATTGTGTTCCATTTTTATATATTCACCAGTTGACATTTAGATCATTTTCTCTTTTTGGACTATTACCAATAAACTTCCTATGAATATCCATGTGCAAGTCTTTTTGTGGATATATGCTATCACTTTTGTTTGGTAAATATTTGAGTAAAATAACTGGACCATACCTAACTTTATATTTTGTAAGTGACTGCTAAATTATCTGTCACAATGTTTGTGGCATTTTATATTCCCACCACAGTATATGAGAGTTCCCAGGTTCCACATCTTCACAATCAAATGGCATTTACCACATCACTAATGTAAGTTATTCTGAATCTATTTTTCTACCCTGCTCATTAGAAGTGAGTCACTAAAGTAAGCTCATACTTAAGGGGGGTAAATTTAAGCTTTATCTTCAAGACAGGGTGGTGTCTATCATCAATCATTAATCATCCGTCTTCTTTATATTTATCATCTATCTTCTATCATCTATCTATCTATATAACTGTCATATCTAATTAATCTATTTACCTCTATCATCTATCTATCATCTATCACCAACCTATTACATTATTATGAGTTGAATGTGTTCCTTTCCCCCAAATTAATATGTTGAAGTTCTGTCACCCAGTACCTTAAAATGTGATTATATTTTGAGATATGATCTTTAAAGAGGTAATTAAGTTTAAATGAGTGTCCTTTTAGAAAGAGGAGATTAGTACACAGGCAAGTGGGAAGACTGCACGGAAATACAGAGAGGAGAGCTATCTACAAGTCAAGTAGACATGCCTAAGAGGAAACTAGCCCTGCAAAAATGTTGATCATAGAGGTCTAGTTTCCATAATGTGAGGAAGAAAATTTCTGTCGTTTCAACCACCCACTCTGTGGCACTTTGTTATGACAGTCGTAAAAAGCTAATAAAGATTTCCCCTGTAAATATTTGCTTCCTGGGGCTGGCATTGTGGTATAGCAGGTAGAGATGCTGCCTGCCATGCTGGCATCAGATATGGGTATGGGTTCGAGTCCTGGCTGCTCCACTTCAGATCAAGCTCCCTGCTAATGCACCTGGGAAAGAAGCAGAAGATGACCCAAATTCTTAGGGCTCCTGGCACCATCCTTGGCCAAAACCAGCTATCTTAGCCATTTCGGGAATAAAACAGAGGACGGAAAATTCTCTCTGTGTCTCTCTATTTCTTTGTAACTTTTTCAAAAAGATAAGTAAATCTTTTAAAAAAAGATTTGTTTCCTTTATCTATTTTATGTAGTCACTGATATATATTAAAAAACTATAAAATTACCAAAATTGTACTTTATCCTGTGAAACCCTACTAACACACAGCCATGGTAATACTCTCTCCCATTATGAGAGTAAGCAATATTCACCCTTGTGTTCTCAAGAGGTTTCTTAATGATATTTGGGATAGCCAGGATTTGATAATTATTAATTATTAATCTCAATTGATATTATTTTTGTTGGGCTGCTGCTGTTGACATCAAGTAGTATAATCCCTGCAACTTTATTACCCTTCTTCAAAGTTCTTTCATTTATTTTGATTTTTCCATTGGACTGTTAGTTATCTTGAGAGATTCTTTTAATTCTATAGAACAATTCAGGAACAGTATTATTAATAATATTAATTCTGCTGATTGATGTATTTGCCATTTAAAATGTATTATTAACACCCCTAGTGGAAAATAATTTAAATACCCCGTTTACTTTTTGATTGTATAATTCAATTATTTTTAATAAATTTACAAAAATCTGTAATCACCACTAAGATACAATTTTAGAACATGTACAGGTACTTTCGCTTAAATAGAAACTACATTCCCATTTGCAGACACACATCTGGCTCATTCACAATCACAGTAAATCACTAATCTAATTTTGTGCATTTGTATTTTTGGGGCATTTCAGACAAATGGAATTATATAAGATGTTATTTTGTATGTGGCTTCTTTAACTTTCCATAGTATTCTTGAAATCCATTTGTATTGCAAAAAGTATCAATATTTTTGTTCATTTAAATTGCCAAATACTAATTCATTGCGTGAATATACTATGTTTTATATATCCACTCACAATTTCACAAGCATTTACAGTGTTTCTAGTTTTAGGCTATATGAATAGTGCTGATTTGAACATCACTGGGAAAATCATTCTCTGGACATATGTTTTTATTTCCTTCAGGTAGATTCCTAGGAGTTGAGTTGCTGAAAAATATGGTAATTTGATGCTTAACATTTTATAATGATGTCAAACTGTTTTCCAAAGTGGCTGTTATTTTGCCACCAGAAATAAATGAGTATATCAAAATCTCCATATCCATGCCACCACTTGGTATTATCATCGATTTTAAAATAAGATAGATTTTCTGAGAACACATAGCGATAGAAAGAGAGAGGGACAGGAAGAAAGAGAGTGATCTTTCATTTGTTGGTTCACTCCCCAAATGCCTACACCAGCCAGGAATAGGCCAGGACAAAGCCAGGAGTCAGGAACTCCAACCTTGTCTCCAACATGGGAGATAGGGACCCAAGTATTTAGGCCATAATTAAGTGCCTTCCTAAGAACATTAGCAGCAACGTGAACCAGAAGCAAAGCATTTGGAACTTGAACTGACACTTAGACATGGGATGCAGGGTGCACCACAACACATGCCCCTACCATCACCTTTTAAAAATATATCCTTTCCAATATGTTGTAATGGTATGTAATTTTAAGTTTATTTTGCCTTTCTCCAATAACTACTGATGTTCAGCACATTCTAAAGTCTATATTTGTCATCCATGTCTTCTTTATTAAAGAATCTATTCAATATATTGCGTATATTTATATTTTATTCATTATTGTTGAATTAAGAGGTTTTTTTACATATTCTGAACAAAATTGTTTAGGAAATTTATGATTCACAAGTAATTTTTACAAACATGAAGCTTGTTTTCAATTTTCTTTGTCGTATCTACTGAAAAGCAAACTATTTTGAATTTTGATGAGGTGCAAATTATCACTTTTTGATTATATGGATTGTGATTGTGGTATTGAATCAAAATAAAATTGACTTTATCCAAGGTTATAACTCACTAGTCCAGGTGATCAATTTCTGTTCACAACTGATCATAATGATAGG